ATGACGGGTATGCACAAATGACTATTATAGAAGTTAGAGCATGCTTATTTGCTAAGAGAGATCAGACGTCATGGCAATGCATCTAGAATTCGAGGCCCCAAAGTTGCCCCTTCTTCAATTGTACACATTGCAAACTTGTAGCTAGTAACTAATGCATTTGTGTTCTGGGTGTGAGGAAAGTCAAAGCCTGGTCCCTTATTTGCTGTGTCATCCATCTTGACTTAACAACTTTTGCAGGATTTCTTTGTGTACCTACATGAAGAACAGTATCTCTATCAATCAGCAAATGTTTATTAAGTGCTTGCATTGTGCCAGGCACCATCCCATCTGCTTTTCCCCATCAGTTCCACATATTAAAAATATATGGGACAGGGGCAGCTAGGTGGTTGTAGTGGATAGAGCACCAGTCCTGGAGTCAGGAGGACTTGAGTTCAAATGTGACCTCAGCCACTTGACACTAACTAGCTATGACCCTGGACAAATCACTTAACCCCATTGCCTCGCCAAAACAATTTTTTTAAATATATAAATATATTATATTATATATAATATAATTTATATATATATATATATAAATACCTCTGTGTGTGTATATGTGTGTACATACACATACACACACACAAAGGACATTAATTTAGAGGGGATAAAACACAAGCAAAGCCATTCTAACTTATTAAAAGTAAAGGTATGTTGTATTCTTCCCCAAAACACAAGGAAATACAGATAAATTCCTTATACTCCCCTCAGTTGATGGACCCAAAAGAATATGGGGAAAGGGCTAATGGGAGAATGCTTACAGGGCCTTTCCCAACTACTAAGATACATCCAATTCAATCCTCTAAGTATTTATTAAGTGCCTACTCTATACAAAGCACAGTGCTAGGTACTAAGGATACAGACAGAATTAAGACCGATCCCTGCCATCTAGGGACTTACACTGTAATAGGAAGATAAAACATGTACATAAATATATGTAACAGGGGTAATCATTAGAAGGGAGCCTCCTCCTCCTCATTTGCTGGACTGGAGAAAAATCTCCCCTCGCTAGTCTCTAAGTCCAGGGAAGAGTTGGCAAAGTCCCAAGTGACACATTCAAAAGAGAGAAAGAGGCCAAGCCTTTCTCCTCTCCTTTTATAGCCTACTGAGTGGGAGGCTCATCCTGGCTCAGTCACCAATTATCTCTGACACAGTTATCCAGTCATGGGGACTGGTAAGGGAATTCTGTATCAATCCGTGGAGCAAGTCCTTCCACACTAAGCAAATATCCATGCCCACAGAACCAGAGCAGATTGAGGGGCTCCCCTAATATTCCCCATTACATATTCATGTGATTATATTTTTTAGCTTATATGTATGGACACATGCTTGAAGGTATGTGTGTATAAATGTATAAATCTATATCTCTATATACATAAAGATAGATATAGATGTATATATATAAATGCATATAGATATATGTGTAGATATAGATAGATATATCTTAATGTATTTTAAAATGCAGACTCTCAAGTAAGTGGAGAGTATTCAGGAAAATTAGAACTGCCATTTGGTTCTTGGGCATTGAATGTCAGCCAAGTAAAACCAAGGATCAGAACAAGGTCATCTGATCTTGGTTCTCACCCATTTGTGCTTTAAGACCCATATTCAAACATTCAATTTCTATTCTCACAATCTCAGCTTACATGTGGGGTGATCAGATCTCCTGCCTAAGGGCACAAGATGATTGCCTTTGGCAGGGGTTAAGAAGGTGCTTCCTCATCCCCCATTAAGAGTATTTCATAACTGGCTAAGTGTAATGAAAGGAGTTTTGTTTGAGGGTTTTCACCTTCACCAGAAGCACCACTGAGGTGAAATCTTGGTTTAGTTGAATTTTCATTTACCTACATGCACACACAAAAAGAATACCATAATCAGGATGTTTCTGGAAGGGCCTAGAATTTATGGATGTAAGCTTTTACACTCAACTTTTTTTTTTAAACCTTTAACCATTGAAATGGCCATTATTTGAGTATGGATCAAAGTCATATATCAAGACAGTGATAGAGCCAAGAATAAAATTTACATCCCTTGACTCGCTAGAATGTGTTAGAGATTAGATGACAAACCCTATTGGGGTGGAAGCCACACACAGGTCTATTTCTTTTGTAACGGTGGATAGGTGTTATTATCTCCATTTTACAGAGAAGGAAATTGAGGCTCAGAGAAGTTAATCTGTCCAGGGTCACACAACTACTATCTAAGCCTAAATTAGAATAATGGGCTAAGAAGTGAATGGAAAAGTTAGAAAACATGAGGGCTCTTTAGCTAGAAAGGATGCATATCCTATTGCAGGAAGCTTCTATTACCTCTGGGGGAGGGGAAAAGGTAAGGGAATAAGTATTTATTAAGCACCTACTATGTGCAAGGCACTGTGCTAAGCACTTTCTAAAATAAATATTATCTCACTTGATCCTCGTAATAACCCTGTTAGGTGGGTGCTATCATGACACTCATTTTACAGTTGAGGGAAATGAGGCAGACAAAGGTTAAGGTTAAGTGATTTGCCCTGAGTTTCACAGCCAGTAAGTGTCCAAGCCCGGATTTGAACTCAGGTGTTCTTGATTCCAGGTCTAGTGCTCTATCCGCTATGTAACCTAGCTGCCTATGATTCAGTCTATTTCAATTAAGGAGTTCTAGGGCTGGTATGACTTCAATTACCTAGTTAACTTTGGGTCTCAGTTTCTTCATCTGTAAAATGGCAGAGTAAAGCTGGTGGGAGAAGGAGGAAGGAGATGTCAAGATTTGACGTGGGGAGGAAGATGATCTCAAAGATTCCTCCCCAACTTCAAACTCCATACTTCTAAAAAAAAAATTTTAAGGACTTAATCTGTTACCTAGTCCTAGGACTATCCCAAGGAGCATAAGAAAATGGAGAAGACTTGTAAAGGCACCGTCTAAAGAAGGAAGATGAAAAGATAGAGACAGCAGAGTCACCTGAGGTTAAGACAGGGCACTGTGGCATCGGAGCAGTAAAGAAGGAGGGGTTGCCTTCAAAAGTCTCCCTGCTGAGAAGGCAAACAGAAAGTCCTGCCTGGTGATGCATTTCCAACCACAAAGAACAGAATAATCTCAGAAGTTTCGCATTATAAAGCCAACAAGGGCACAGACAGAACAATAATCACACACAAACCATGTGAGGGCCACACTATCATACCAAAAGATGAAAACATGAACAGGGCACCCAGAATAAACAGGGGCATGGCTAGTGATGTGGCCTGGCAGCCTCCTTTCTCTGCCTTCCAGCTTTTTCCTCACAAAACAAAACATCAAGGCCACCCATCTGCCAGTTTTACGAGACCAGGTAGGGCTTTGCCTCTTCTCGCCTTCTGGTTAGCTAGATTGTTTGATGGCCGCCATGTCTGCCTTTGGTGTGCTAGCACATAGGTGTCCTATCAGATCTTTTGGCTGGATCATGTCTAGAGTGATGGAGCTAATAGGGTTTAGTCATTTGGTCAAGGTAGTCAAGAGGCATTTATTAAGCACTTATTGTGTGCCAGATACTTTGCTAAGAACAAGGAATACAAAGAAAGGAAAAAAACAGTATCTGCTCTCAATAAGGGTGCATTCTAACAGGGGAGATAGCATATGAATAACTAGGCACATGCAAGATACAAATATGTGTGTATATAAGTATTTATATGTGTGTGTGTGTGTATTGTATATATATACACACATATATATGTATATATACATATATGTATACAATGTATATAGAAGGTAACCTCAGAGGCAAAAGCACTAAAGTTGGGGGTGGGGCAGAAAAGATCTCCTGAAGAATTTGGCATTTGAGTTGAGTCTTGAAGGATGCCAGGGAAACTAAAGGTAGAAGTGAAGCAGAATAGCATCCCAGGCACAGGGGAGAGCTCGGTGCAAAGATTTGGATACAAAAGAGAGAGTGTCATGTGCAAGGAGCAGAAAGCAGGCCGTTGTAGCTGGATTGTAGAATGTATCCAGGGGAATAAAGTATAAGAAGACTGAACTGAAGGAAGGGACCAGGCTGTGATGGGTTTTAAGTGTTAAACACAGGATTTTCTATTTATAGGTCTGTGGTTTGGGAGAATCACTTGTTTAGCTTGCTCTTAATTGTTATTTCATCTTTGAAATTGAACTGTAATGTTATAGACCTAAAAGACATATTGATGGCATGGTCTAGATCAAGCTGAATTAAATTATTTCCAGGGGTCATATAGGATTCTGTCTGGAAGTGGCTGGAAGCATGCTCCTGGCCCACTTGCAGCAGGGATAGCCACAGGCTTGCGGGTCATAGTGCCAGGATAGGCCAGTATTCCAGGCCCTGAGGGAAAGTTTGCATTACCCCAGTCTATAGAAGATGAAACCAGCAATGAGCCAACAACCTTTACCAGATGACATGGGTGCAAGACTACTTTAAATGCCCACCCACTCCCCTCTAAACCAGATGTGAGTCGTATGCATACCATGAGAAAACCGTACAGACACAATATTATGTGAGCTTAACACAAATGAAAATGTTTGTACATGTTAATCGGGAATGAGTAAGAGATTGACAGCCTGGAAACAGAACAATGGGTGAAAGATGTGTGGACTCCACCTGTGTGGGGAACAGTGATGAGTCAGACAGGATGGCTCACCCACCAGTGAGAGAGGAAACCTAGAATGAGATGAGCTCAGATCAGAAGCGATTGCATCAATGGAGCCAGGCACTCGATAAGAGGAGTTGATGAAGTTAAGTTAGGCTGGAGTTTAAAGAGGCTCATTCAGAAATGGAACAATGCCTGCATTTCTTATCTCACAGCTCTGTTGTTGAGGGAAGTACTGCATATATAATAAGCTATTTACTACTCCTGCAATTATCCTTGAGCATCATTCTTATAATCTGTCCCCCAAACCTTTCTTTTCCTAAGCTCCTGAATGTTAAAATTTTCACTCATTAAGAACAGGAAGGCATTTTACAGATAACACTGCCTTCTTTTTTTGTCTGTTTTTTGTTTTTAATTGTTCATGCAAATGAGAAGACAGAACTGGAAAGATGGAAGTGATTTGGCCAAGGTCAGACTCAGATAATAAATAGAGCCAGGATGCAGCACCAGCTTCTCTAACACCAAATCCAATGGCCTTTGCGGTGTCTTTGAATCTCGTCAGTTGTTGACATCAGGAGAATGAGCCCTGGAATGGGAAAATCTGCATTAGAGGTGAGACAAAAAAAGCCAGAGAGACACAGTTTCTGGGTAATTAATAATCAATTTATTAATTAGGCTAGCTGATAATCAGTAAATTGGTGGTCAGTGGTCTCTCTCCATAATCAAAGACCCCTAATGGAGATACTGAATGCCTTCATATATTTTTAGAAAAGGGATTGCCCCTGACAGGTGAAAATCAACCCTGACTGGTGAACAACTAATGAGGGGGTGGCTAAAAATTTTGGCTCCTCTTGCTGAGACTGTGGTTTAATCAAGAGATTCAGCTGCCTCCAGCAATTTGGACCAAGAAGTTCATCTCTACTCAGACCAGGGGCAGCTAGGTGGCACAGTGGATAGAGCACAGGCCCTAAAGTCAGGAATACCTGAGTTCAAATCCAGTCTCAGACCAAACACTTGACACTCACTAACTGTGTGACTCTGGGCAAGTTACTTAACCCCAATTGCCTAAAAAATAAATAAAATTAAAAAATAAAATTATTGAGCTCTACCCAGACCACTCTGGTTGGTTTTCTCCTTCATGAGCTGGGTTACACTAAACTCCAATGGAGGGGTGCAAGGGCATAGACTTGATGCTTTGGGGCTGGAATTCACCTAGATTAGATTCAGTTTACACTCTAAACAGAAGTAAAGTCTTTTAGTTGGGTGGGGTCTAGCCCAAGATCTCAGAGCAGGGAACCCTACCCCCACCTGGAGGATTAGGCCAATCTCATCCATCAGCCTTGTCCTTCAGAGACTGGGTGACCTACAGGATCTGGTCCCTGAATGTAGAAAAAAAAAAGCCTGGATCCAAATTAATAATGGGTTATTAATATAAGAGAAAATAATCATTTCTCTCAGAGGGGAGCTGCCCAACAGAGGTCTATACCTCTAGCGGAAATTTATCTTTAGGAAATAAGCCACTATTGATTCACCAGAAAAGTACAAAAAAAGCATGTATTAGGTATTTAATATATGTTTGCATAGTGCCTGGAACATACTAAGTACTTAATACATGTTTATTAGATTGATAAACATATAAACAATTATAAATGTTTGTTGTGGACCGAATTGCTCCAAAAGAGTTGTTGGAAGCTTGGATTTCTGCTGGGAGAATGAGGGTGGGGAGAGGGGAGAATGAGGAGGAAGAGGTTATATGAAATTCTTCCAAAAGATTCAGTAAAACTGATTTTGGTTTATTTTGGGAGGTAGGGGTGAGGGAAGGATATTTGCCACACCCTTTAGGAGGAAGAAGAGGGAAAGAGTCACAATAATATCAAAGAAACAACAATCAAGTGTTGCAATTGAAAGAAAACTGGGACACCAGATGCTAAACAAACACAGAATAGGCAGAGTCTCAGAATGCCCTAAAAATATACTATGGATCCCTGGCCCCCATCATTTGGTGTCCCATGACACTCCCGGATCACCCACAAAACAATTTTCCATAAGTCTGAATTTTCCCTCATTTGGCATCTAAAGGATACTTTCTACAGCCTAACTGGCTTTTCAGCTGAGATATGGTCATCTAAATACCGTATCTCACAAGAGACCTGGCAAAAAGTTTTCTCATGGAGAAATTCATTACCAGTTACACAATCTCAAGGGCTTTCACACTTGCGATCCTAGGAGCAAATTCTAACTTTCAGAATAAAAAAAAAATTAGAAAAATAATTAGCCAGACATCCTCCACATCAGATTGTTTTTGTTTCATGGCACAGAATTTGCATCGGTGCCATATAAATGAATGGATGTGCATTAATAGCCATGTCTCAAATGACCTCTACCTACAGTGAAGGGAGATATTTGTGCCTTTGTCTATTTCAGAGAATACAGAAAATTCCCCTTTGGTGCAGGTTATTAAATGTTTGCTAAGTTGCTGAGCCCAGAGTTCTGGGGTTAGCCCCTACCCTTGCTCCCTCTCAGACCAATGTGATCTTTTCTCACTTCCCTTTCATACACACACACACACACACACACACACACACACACATATAATCTTATTTCACCATCTTACATGGGAGATATGATTATGAAGCACAAACCACACACATCTCCTAATGTAGCTTTTAGTTACACCACCTAGAGTCAAAATCACTTCCTTGACGGATGTTGGTGAATCCCCTCTTCCTTTACTTGCTGCCATGAAATTTTCTATTCTGTATTCTTTTCCATCTTTCATTTTTATCCTTCTTTCTTTATTTGTCCAGGTAAAATTTCTTAGATCCAGGCATGTTCCTCCTCAGGAATGCCTCTCTCTATGAATTATGTCATCTCCCATTAGATGACTGCTAGATTTCAGTGTCATGTACCCTAGGGTTTCTTCTTGGGAAGAAAGGAGAACTAGAACATTCATAACAACTTGACTGGAGGGGTCACTTTGTTAATTAAATGAATTTAAATTTAAACATTTCCTCTTGGGCTGCACTGGGAAGGCCAAAATGGGGCCTATTGTCCCCACATTTGACTCCTCTGTGTTAGAGGATAGAATGATGCTTCTTCACATTTTGGCACCACAAGAAAGAAAAGTTTGTCAGAACTGATCAGAAATACAAATACTCTTCCTGCTAAAACTATATCAGGTCAAATGGCACTGACCATTATACCAGAAATGTTATTAAAGGTAACAAGGGCATATTTCATTATGCACCAGTACTGTGTAATAACAAAATTGGAAACAGATCTCACTAGGTATAGGAAAGTACTTTATATACTATTTTTGTCGATGGCATTCTTAGCCCCAACTCACATTGTATATTACTATCCAATATAGAACTTCTTTTTAATAGAATTTCTTTTCTTTAATTTCTTCTTTAATAGAAATTCTGTTTTAAAAACAGAAACTATATCGCCAAATCTTTTTAAGACAAAATGAGAGGGGGAAATGTAGAGCTACTAAAATTTGAAGAGGGAAAGGTTGAAGAAGTTCAGATCATTGAAAATCTTCACTTAACATAAACTTGAGTAATTATGCCTAATAATAAAAGAGATAACAAAAATAGCACTAAAGCCTCAAATGGTTTTGAAAAGGAGATGGGCAAACGTAGCCTGGAATTCTGAAAAACCCTTTTTTAGTTTGATGGCATGAATCCAACTTGCAGATCAATTCTACCAAAAGAAGGTAATTTTAAAAAGCTGTGAACGCATTCTCTCACAATATTTGGCAGAGAGAATAAAATCATTTCTGGACCTGAATCAGTAGCATATGTGGTAGCCATTGCCTTAGTAAGAACCACAGGAGGAAAGGGAGAAAGATCAAGAAATACTGCTAAGGTCAAGTATCAAACACCATTCATGTCAGAAGCAACTTAGAGATCTATTGAAGACCTTCAGAAAGGTCATGAAGATTACCTCATCACGTAACTGATATGTGCAGTAGAAAATTTAAATGCAATATTACTGGATTAAAGACAAAAAAAAACATTAGAAAGGAATCTAGAAAACAAAAGCACATTCAAAATTTTATATTCCCTTAACCTGTGAATGAAAGTAAAACTCAAAAGATCAAGACATATGAGTCAAAGCAACACAAAGAACAAAATAAGCAGTTCAATATTAACCAAAAATTTGGCCATTGAAGCATGAGAAATAAGGAAATCAGAGATGAGAGGGAATACCTGAAGAAGAAAAATGTGGGAAATTTCTAATTGTTTATATGATTTCGGGAAATCCAACACATCGTGAATGCAATTTGGATCAAACAAGAAAAAAGGAGGCATGTGTACCGTTAAAGTGATGAACAACAGCATAGTTACATTAAGAGAAGTGACTGAAATTCTAGCTTCTTTATAAAACCAGAAAGTTCTGTGTTGGCATAAAAACCATAATTCTTGACTTAAATGCTTCACAGCACCTCATGAATTACTAACAAGGCACTTTATCGATAATCCCTCAGACATAAGTCCAATACCACCTTTCTTCATAGAAAGTGTCATGTATCTATTGCCAAAAGATAAGAATACCAGTGACCCCCTCCAAATATAGTCTAATTATGTGTTTATGTACAGTACTTTGTATAACCATTCACAGCTTGTATCCTTCCAAAAAAAAAATCTGTAAACACTTGTGAGAAAATAATATATTGGCTTCTCAGCCAAAAAGTTCCAGATACATAAAGAGCTATTATTGATTCATTAATTGTTAGGTAAGTTGCTCCAAAACTCTCAAACATATACTGCTTTTGCTGATTATCATAAAGCCTTGGGGACTCAGTTCCACACTCATGGCTTGCTTATTTACTGCAAATATATGACACAGGCCCAAGTGTAGCGAGAATGAAAGAATACTTGATATTCATGGAAAACTCTTTTTCATTCAAAACATGTCAAGAACAATTCCTAAAAATATATAGCATATATCAGGAAGATTAATTTAAAGATCATTATGGTTCTACCTATTCTTCAATATGCTATCATCTCTCTTAAGTATGGCTTCCAAATTAAAGAAGCTAAACTAAAACATCTTATTTACTACCTGGAGTATATGGATGAAGTCAAGCTATACGGTTCCACTGAAAAACAAATTAAACATCTCCTTCATCTTAAGAAATTTTTCTCCAATGATATCAAAATGCCATTCGGACTTGATAAGTACAAAATTCTTAAGGTACATCAAGGAAAGATAGAAACTAAAAGCTTCAAATGTGAATCCAGAGCTGGTTTTATGAAAAAAAAAATAGATAAACCATTGATTAATTTGATTTAAGAAAAAAAGAAAAGGAAGAAAACCAAATTACCAGCATCAAAAATGAAAAAGGTGAATTCACCACCAATGAAGAGGAAATTAAAGAAATTATTAGAAGTTATTTCGCCTGATTATGTGCCAATAAATCTGACAATCTAAGTAAAATCAATGAGTATTTATAAAATATAAATTGCCTAGATTAACAGAAGAGAAAATAAAATGCTTAAATAATCTCATCTTAGAAAAATAAATAGAACAAACCATCAATAAACTCCCTAAGGAAAAAAATCCCCATTACTAGATGGA